TCCTTCATGATCATGTATGTTTGATGTTGTCTTGAGAAAACATGGGCCCGACACTACAAGAAGGATGTGGAAAATTGGAAAGAGTCCAGCAGAGGGCAACAAAAGTGATTAGGGGACTGGAACACATGACTTATGAGGAGAGGCTGGGGAACTGGGATTGTTTAGTCTGCGGAAGAGAAGAATGAGGGGGGATTTGATAGCTGCTTTCAACTACCTGAAAGGGGGTTCCAAAGAGGATGGATCTAGACTGTTCTCAGTGGTAGTGGATGACAGGACAAGGAGTAATGGTCTCAAGTTGCAGTGGGGGAGGTTTAGGTTGGATATTAGGAAAAACTTTTTCACTAGGAGGGTGGTGAAACACTGGAATGCGTTACCTAGGGAGGTGGTGGAATCTCCTTCCTTAGATATTTTTAAAGTCAGGCTTGACAAAGCCCTGGCTGGGATGATTTAGTTGGGGATTGGTCCTGCTTTGAGCAGGGGGTTGGATTAGATGACTCCTGAGGTCCCTTCCAACCCTGATATTCTATGATTCTATGAAAAGATATGAAGAGGGGGAAAATTAAGAAGACAGAGGAAAAGAAGGCAGAGAAGGAGTAATAGGGAGAAAAATAATTCATTTCTAGTAATATTTGATTTTACAGGCAATGTCATATTCATTGGGATCAGAATTCAAATATTGGCTCCAAAAATCTGAAGACAAACACGACTCTCAGCCCAGGATGGGCTCTGCCCTTCATTGTGTTTCTTTGAATAATTGTATAGTTACTTGTACAGTGACAAGGTTTTTTTAACCTATGCAGCCACCTGTACCACAGATATCCAAATCCAGAGTCAGAATCCTAGTTACAGCCAAGAAAAGGAAAAGACATTGCTCTCCTTGTTCAACAATTTATTACAGCACTGTACCTTGGCTCCCATCTACACCACTTTAACCCTTCTGCTACTAATGACTCTACCAGGGACATTCCACAGCCACACTGTACCTGACCTGTGTTACTAAACCAAGAAACATAGGACCTACCATATCAAATCAGAGCAATGATCCATGTAGTCTAGTAGCAAGTGGCAAGTACCAGATGCACTAGAGGCAAGAGCAAGAAACCCATTTCCAGTTAATGGACTTATCTGCATAGAGGGAAAGCTTGTCAGTTGCCAGATGATTTATACTCTGATGCCTGAGGGTTTATATACCATAATACATTCACCCTACCTAATGCATTTGTGAATGTTCTGATTATCTTTGTAAATGTCCCATCCTTCTTTGAAATTCTACTAACATCTTGACCTCAGATACATCTTGTGGCAATGAGTTCCACAGGCTAATTAACATTCCTTGAGCTACACAGGCATGATGCTGAAATTCTAGGGCCAGGACTATGAAAAAGGGCCCTACCTAGATTCAAGCATTCGGAGTACTGGAAAGGCTATGCACGCTGTGCCATGATCTGATTCCATTTTCTATTAAGAAAGCAACCCTTGTTCAAGACTGGTGGGAGAGAAACTGGAGCAGGATTGCCAGGTGATTGAACAGTTGGGAGGTCTGCAAGAAGTAAGAGAAATTTATTCAAGCCAGTAGAACATTATAGCATAGCCCTCCGGGGAAGGCAGCTCTCTGCCTTTCATCTTTCTGGCAGTTCACTTTGTTTTTGAGATGATAGCTTGAGCTTACTCAATTGAAGAGTCCTTCTGCAAAGCAATCCTTGTTGAATTGGGACCTGCAGACATTGGGGCAGTTCCCAGTAGCAGGCCATTCCCAAGGCCTCGTGCTTTGCCCACAAGCTACGATTACATTTTTAAAGCACATGTTGTGGGGGAGGGAAAGACTGTGTGGCAGTGTAGGTTAGTCTGCATGTGTTACCAGGAAAAGATTACAGAGACAGAGACTTCAATCAGGCCACATAGCCTGAGACCTCAGGGTAGGATTGTCAAAGGAAAAGGAGACATGTGGGTGTCCAAATCCTGGTGACCACCGAGTGGCTAAATCCCTCAGGCTCCACAGCCAGTTCCAGCCTTCCAGTGATAGTCTGGCCCCAAATCACAGAGAACAGCCTATGGTTGGGGCCTCCTTACTCCGTGCCAGAGCGATGCAGATAGAGCCAGAAGTGCAGGTGAGCAGAGGAGACCATGGGGGAAAGGCTCCTTTTTTCAGGCACCTGTCAAGGGGGTGCCTCAGCCCTCTCTGATGTGATGGCTTCCAGGGGTCCCATCACTGGTATTCAGGCTTGGGTCTCCCAGCTGGCAACAAAGTTCTATCTCCCAGCCCTCACCTCTCCGTGACCTCCTGAACCCTGGGGACCTGCCCATTGTCTGTAAGGGGGGCTGCACCATAAATGAAATTAAAAGGGATTTTCCTGGTTATTCTACAACCAGCTCATTCACACTGGGATGGGCAGGTGGGTGAGCTTTCACCCCAATGTGGCCAGGAGGTCATTGCACAAAACTGTATCATCCCCTTCCATATTTCATCCACGAAAACCCCTTCCAGTTTGAATCTGAATTAGGGAGCTGCTGAATTTCCAGCAGGGCTGGATTACAAGATGGCTGGGAAGCCCAAGGGGACTGCATGTTGGGCCCTGGCTGCAGTTTACAGCCCCCACACAAAGGAAGCTGGGGAAGTGACAGAGAGACTGCCTGCAGGAAAGCAGATAGGCTGCAACTGCGAAGATAGAAGGGTCTATGGGGGAGGGACCAGGACTGTGAGTGAGACTCTGCCGGGAGGCCAGGGCCAGACTCTCCCTCACCTCTTGACTAGGAGGAACAACTGGACTCTTTTTTTGCTTCTGTCTTTTTTTCGCCTCTGTCTTCATGAACAAGGTCAGCTCCCAGACTACTGCACTGGGCAGCACAGCATGGGGAGGAGGTGACCAGCCCTCTGTGGAGAAAGAAGTGGTTCGGGACTATTTAGAAAAGCTGGACGTGCACAAGTCCATGGGGCTGGATGCGTTTTATCTGAGAGTGCTAAAGGAGTTGGCGGATGTGATTGCGGAGCCATTGTCCATTATCTTTGAAAACTCATGGCAATCCGGGGAAGTCCCAGACGACTGGGAAAAGGCTAATGTAGTGCCCATCTTTAAAAAAGGGAAGAAGGAGGATCCTGGGAACTACAGGCCAGTCAGCCTCACCTCAGTCCCCGGAAAAATCATGGAGCAGGTCCTCAAGGAATTAATTCTGAAGCACTTAGATGAGAGGAAAGTGATCAGGAACAGTCAGCATGGATTCACCAAGGGCAAGTCGGGGAGGGATAGCTCAGTGGTTTGAGCATTGGCCTGATAAACCTAGGGTTGTGAGTTCAATCCTTGAGGGGGCCATTTAGGGATCTGGGCAAAAATTGGGGATTGGTCCTGCTTCAAGCAGGGGGTTGGACTAGATGGCCTCCTGAGGTCCCTTCCAACCCTAACCTTCTATGATTCTATGATTCTAAGTCATGCCTGACTAATCTAATTGCCTTCTATGATGAGATAACTGGTTCTGTGGATGAAGGGAAAGCAGTGGATGTGTTGTACCTTGACTTTAGCAAAGCTTTTGACACTGTGTCCCACAGTATTCTTGTCAGCAAGTTAAAGAAGTATGGGTTGGATGAGTGCACTATAAGGTGGGTAGAAAGTTGGCTAGATTGTCGGGCTCAACGGATAGTGATCAATGGCTCCATGTCTAGTTGGCAGCCAGTAGCAAGCGGAGTGCCCCAAGGGTCGGTCCTGGGGCCGGTTTTGTTCAATATCTTCATAAATGATCTGGAGGATGGTGTGGATTGCACCCTAAGCAAGTTTGCAGACAACACTAAACTGGGAGGAGTGGTAGATACGCTGGAGGGTAGGTATAGGATACAGAGGGACCTAGACAAATTGGAGAATTGGACCAAAAGAAATATGATGAGGTTCAACAAGGACAAGTGCAGAGTCCTGCACTTAGGACGGAAGAATCCAATGCACCGCTACAGACTAGGGACCGAATGGCTCGGCAGCAGTTCTGCAGAAAAGGACCTAGGGGTGACAGTGGACGAGAAGCTGGATATGAGTCAACAGTGTGCCCTGGTTGCCAAGAAGGCCAATGGCATTTGGGGATGTATAAGTAGGGGTATTGCCAGCAGATCGAGGGACATGATTGTTCCCCTCTATTCGACATTGGTGAGGCCTCATCTGGAGTACTGTGTCCAGTTTTGGGCCCCACACTACAAGAAGGATGTGGAAAAATTGGAGAGAGTCCAGTGGAGGGCAACAAAAATTATTAGGGGACTGGAACACATGAGTTATGAGGAGAGGCTGAGGGAACTGGGATTGTTTAGTCTGCGGAAGAGAAGAATGAGGGGGGATTTGATAGCTGCTTTCAACTACCTGAGAGGTGGTTCCAGAGAGGATGGCTCTAGACTGTTCTGAGTGGTAGCGGATGACAGGACAAGGAGTAATGGTCTCAAAGTTGCAGTGGGGGAGGTTTAGGTTGGATATTAGGAAAAACTTTTTCACTAGGAGGGTGGTGAAACACTGGAATGCGTTACCTAGGGAGGTGGTGGAATCTCCTTCCTTAGAAGTTTTTAAGGTCAGGCTTGACAAAGCCCTGGCTGGGATGATTTAGTTGGGGATCGGTCCTGCTTTGAGCAGGGGGTTGGACTAGATGACCTCCTGAGGTCCCTTCCAACCCTGATATTCTATGATTCTGTGAATTTAAACAGCCAGAGAGCAGGGCTATTAGAGGGGCCCAGTGCGGGGGCTGCAAGGATTAGGGATGCCTTGAGGGAGCAATTTGAGGCTGAAAGCCACCAGTAATTTCTGTTGCCCTGCACGGGAGCAAACTGCAGTGGTTCCAATGTTAGTAGGAATCTGTGTTTGCTACGCTGACTTACAGTGCCTGTTTCTTTCCTGGGCTAAGGTATCTTTAACTTTATGCAATAATAAAGAATGTTTTCAAAGCCAAAAAATTCATTTATTGAAAAGAAACAGAACTGCTTGGGAAACAGAAAGGGTAAGGGGGGGGGGGATGGTGCAATCACAGATTTGTGTATGTCCTGTTCTCATACTCAGCCTTCCTGTCTGGAGTGCTGTGCAATGAGTGCTGCACTTCAGGATGGCTATACTGCATGGTGATGGGGGTTGAGTGAAGAGGGTAAGGGTCGTAGTTTTCAGGGCTGGGTGGTGAAGCTACACGTGTTGAAGTCAGCTGGTGGTGGTAAGAACCCAGATGTTGGGGAAAGTGGGTTGGAGGTGACATGGGGACACAAGGGAAAGAGTTTTGGGACAAGGGCTGCGGGGGGGGGGGCGGCGCGGGCGTGGTTCCGCTTTGCCTGCATGGCTATGAGCGCTTGGATAGAGTCCGCTTGGTGCTCCATTATGCTTATCAGCCGATCCGTGCGTTGCTGCCGGAGCACCGCACTTTTGTGCTGGCGCTCCTCATTCTGCTGGTGGATCCTCCTTTCCCTGTCCCGCCACTCCTGCACTTTTCCATTTTCATTACTGGAATGCTGCATTACTTCATGCAACATGTCTTCCTTGCTTCTACGTGGCCTCTTTCTGATTCTTTGGAGTCTTTCGGCCGGTGATAACACAGACGGCTGAGATCTCAAGGTTGCATCTGTAAAGCAAAATGCAACACTTAACAGAGACAGCATTGTTCACACCAGACAGAGCAGTGATTCCCCCGTACTTAAGGGCAAGCACAGTCTACACAATAGCATAATTTGCCCATCCCAAAGCGAGCGCCCATAACCCACGGGAGCCCCAAAATGGTGAGTAAGCACTGGGTGAAGGGGGACTGATTGTTTCACGGCCGTACTGTCTTCTGGGGTTCTGTGCCTTGGGGAGAGCCAACAGCGGCAGGGGACCCCTATACTGAACACTGTCCCCACATTTTCCACAGGATGAGTTCGTTCTGGAAGATATCTTGCCGCTGAGGGTGACCTGGGAAGCAAGGGAGAGTCTTCTAATACAATGCGGCTTCCGCCCTGGCCCATATGCAGCTTGCCTGTGTGCAGCAATGGTCCCCCCGCCCCTCACGGCACAGTGGCGCAGACAAGTTAGCCTTACTGGGACAAGGACCACAGTGGCTCTCCCAAGAAACCTGCACAAGCGGATTGCCCAGGTTCTGGATGAGACCTTTGAAGAAATCACTGAGGCCGATTACCGCAATGTGAGAGAGCACATCAATGCCCTATTCCGCATCGAGGCATGCATGCAGCCATAACCCTCCTCACCCCAAGAGCCCGCACCGAATAACTTCCTTCCCAAAATAAAAGCTGCTTACTGGGAACCTCCTCTGGTGTTTGTCCTTCCCCAAGCACCGGCTGCCGCGACTGGCTACCTTCCTCCTGGTTTGCATGCATCTAGAGAACAGCTTCTGGCTGCATGCATCTAGGGATTCCGGGGTGTCTTCCAATGTCTCAACACCCTTGCTCCCGCTTTGCTCCTCCTCCTCCTCCTCCTGCCTAGTTGCACTGGGCTCTGAAGTGTCCATGGTGGTCCTCGGAATGGAGGTGGGGTCGCCCCCAAGTATCGCATCCAGCTCTTTGTAGAAACGGCAGGTTGCAGGGGCAGCACCGGAGTGGCGGTTTGCCTCGTGGGCTTTGCGGCAGGCATTCCGCAGTTCCTTCATTTTAATCCTGCACTGCAGTGCGTCCCGGTCATGGCCCCTTTCCATCATGTCTCTTGATATCTGCTCGAAGGTATCGTAATTTCTACGGCTGGAGCACAGCTGGGACTGGACAGCTTCCTCCCCCCAAACACTGATGAGCACCTTGCCATTGCTCCATACTGGGGATCGCCTGGTGCGTGGAGGCATGGTCACCTGGAAAGATTTGCTGAGAGCACTCCATGCCTGGCTGAGCAAACAGGAAGGGGATTTTCAAAATTCCCAGAGAATTTAAAGGGCAGGTCTGATGGTTGGTCACCTGAGGGCAGGGCAGTAGAGTTGAAAATGATAACCAGAGTGGCTAGAACAGGCATTGTGGGACACTTCTGGAGGCCGATCACAGTGCACTAACAGACCAGGGTGTCCACACTGGCACCGCGGCGCTCCAGCGGGGGCGCACCAAACGTTATTCCACTCGCCGAGGTGGAGTACCAGGAGCGCTCTAGCCGCAGAGTCAGAGCACTCTACAGGCCTTGCCAGTGTGGACGGGTAGTGAGCTAGTGCGCCCGGGGCTCCTCTAATGTGCTCTAATTCACAAGTGTAGCCAAGCCCTTACTGGAAGGCATTTGATTCAGCCTCTGATGAGTCACTCCTCATTCTGAAGGTGCTCAGAATGGCTGAGACAGTCACAGATGAGGTCGTAAATGCACTGGAGGCATTCATGTGCCAAGTTTACCATTTGACGACCAACATTATGACACTTGCAGAGCTATGTTGGTGGATGTTTTCCAAGAAGTAGACAAACAGAGATAAATTGCCACTGATGAGGGCCGCATTTATACCTCCCACCAAGAGGACAAATTATCAAGGAATGGAATGAATCTGAGATGACTGAGTGCATCCAAAACCACCTCCCCTGCCAGGCATGGAGGATGGACTGATCAGACCAGTTATGACCAGTTATGTCCCAAATCAGTCCCTCAGCTAATAAAATGCTGGTGTGCAAAGACCAGATGCTCACCATCCTTCAAATATTTGGCCAGCAACCTGCCTTGTACGGAGATGTGCATGTGCAGCACGGGCAAGGATCAGTGTGACAAAGTGTCTAGCAGCAGTGTCTTTGATGGAGATGACACGGATGATGACTTTGATGAATAAAAGTTTTCAGTCGTACATGTCAGGGCCAACTTCTCTATGATTCCCGAAGAGCAATGCCTTTTTTTATGTAAGTAACGCATCCCTGCAGTAAAGTATAACTACAAACAGTTGATTTTTAAACATTTTCTCAAATACGTATCTACATAATTGCTCTAGGTTTGTCATGTTTGGTACCACTGTGTTTGTGGATGAACGGGCTTTCAAAGGATACCTAACTTGACCCATTTCCAATGACACTATTATCAAAATTTCCACCACCCAGAGCACCTGGAGGTGGGTGGCGGGGCAGCAGGTTCCCCTAGCCATGTTGCAGAGGGTGACACCACTGCAATGATGATTCTGTAGATTTTTATGAATCAAATGATCCCCCACACCCACACACTTACCTTTCTGTCACTAACTTGCAACATTTTATCACATTATGCTCCCAAGTACATATCACCCACATATCCAGCACACAGGGGGACAGAACACACACTGCCCAGGAGGCTACGTATGTGCTCTGAGTGCCGGGCTTCCTGCTACAACCTGGACCAAGAGGTTTTTAAAAGATTTAAGAAAACAAACATTAAAAAACTCCCAAATTTCAGATCCCCTCAAATGACTATACTGTATGAACAGAGACAGCAGGCCGAGCACCCACAAAGGAAATCCTACCAAGAGGAAACAAAAATGGAGGGAAAACAAATCTTACCTTGCTCCTCCCAGAAGCAACTCATCTGTTACATGCGGTCTCATGAGGGTATGTCAGCATCACCAATCAACTCACTTTAAGTGCCACACTTGGAGGCCACCCCCACAGGAGGTGCAGAAATGGCCATGTAATTGTATATACTATAAATACAGCCCACGCACGGCAAGAAAGGCTTCTCGTTTTGTGAATTTGTGAAATGTTAGGTGGAGCAAAATGGGCCCAGCTCTCCTGCCAGGTGCTCAAGTATTTTAATTATGCTAAGTGTTGACATGATGTAGACAACTAGGAGGAAAGCCAGCCCATCTCATGGCTCCTGTTCTGGAAACAGAGGCATGGTACATTCCCTCAGCATGGAGGAGAGGCTGCCAGCTGTATCTTCAGGACAGAGAGCTGTCAGGGGCCTTCCATAACTACTGGGAAGGCTCTGGGAAACAATGTTGATCTTTCCATACCTGTTGCTTTAGGTGGTGTTATGAGAGTGCTCTAGAAAAGGGATGTGTGTCTGTTCACCTGTAAGCAGTTAACAAACCATCTTCACTGGTTTTGTAGAAGCAACAGACATTGTGGTGTACTGCAACTGGCTCTTTATGGGCAGCTCTTCACATGCTGCTCTTCACGGGTGACACCCTGATCTTTTTACCAGAAGCACTATTTCCGAATGTCAACAGCAAGTAGCAAGGGTTTGGTCTCAAAGGCAGACAAACAAAGGCAATTACATCCAGTGTCAGGTCAGCCAACGGTGCATGCAGGAATATTGCAAAATCTGTCGGCAGGTCAAGTACAGGAACTTCAGGCCAATGAGAGCAGGAGACCCAAAGCATGGCTGCAGATGCAGGGATTTAACACCGCTCCTGATACAAAGACTTCAGTTGTCTGATTTTGGCTTGCCTCCCAAAACAATACTTAACTGTCACATACTGGTCAGGTGACTAGTCCCTTTTGCCAGGTAACAGTGTACTCTCACTTCTGCCAAGACCATCCTTTCACACCCATCCATTCCATCTGGCAGCGCCACATCCATAGCACTGGAAGCCAGTCAAGCCATGGTCCAGAATTATATTCCAGATCTTTATATACAAAGATTTTTCAGACCTATATCATCCAAGAAAGGAAAAACTAAAGGAGAGTTCTGACCTCATTCCTTCCACTAATAGCTACAGACACTGAGTCAAAGAACGTCACGGGGACCAATTTGAAATTGCTCTTATGGTTATGATAGTAACTATGTTAGAGGATCAGGGGCTGTTTTCCCAGTGACCACCCCATCTCACAGGGAGTCCACCTTAAAATCAAGGCTTTTGCTTTGAAGATCAGCAGCAAGTCTTCCCGTCTCTTGAAGACATGAAACCTCATTCTTTTATTAGCAGGTGCCTACCACTGGAGCTAACATTGCAAAACATTTACCAAATGTACCATATCAAGGAGACTGGAGAGGAATGTTGCATACTCTCTGCCCTGCATGTGTACTGTCTTTGCTCCTTTAAATGCAAACAGCTTCCACTATCTCATTCAGACAAACATGGAACACCAAAAAAGCCATATCTGCATTCCCTCATCCACCAAACCAGTTACCCTATCAAAGAAGGAAATCAAGCTGGTTTGGCATGATTTGTTCTTGGTAAATCCATGACCAACAGGACCCACTGAGAAAGGAGAAGGGTTGCCTTGCCTTTGCCCAAATTCTCATGGCCCTCCCCTCCAACAGAATATCCTTTTGTGTCTCTGCTCTCAGCTGCAAAAGCCTCTCTTATCTAACAGTTACTGCTCTGCAACACTGAAATAGCTGCTTGCACAATCAGCTTGTCAAAATAACCCGCCTAGCAGCCCTTCAGCATTTCTTAGCACTACGGCTCGATTCTTAGTACTGAAGTTCCTGTCCTACTGGCAGGAAACAAAGTGGAATAATTCACATGTGAGGAACTGCCTTCTCTGTGGGATTAATCAGATGAGCTGAAGAAGCTTCACTTCTGTCTGTGTGCTTGTTTCTGCTAATATATCTGCTGCATAGGCCCAGATAACTTGGTAGTGCCTGGTACATCCCATTATATCAGAGCAGAGTGTTGATGTTGAAAAAGCAGTGCATTTCTCTGGCATGAACTATGGTGGATCAGATCACACCAGTAGGGCAGGGAAGGTCTTGTGGTTAAGGCATTAG